ACTAATTAGCCATGCAGGCTGGAGCTCATGGGAGTTGAAATTCAAACATCTGGAGGGCATGTAGTTGGGAAACACTACTATATATCATCTTGACGGTCCTGTTTACCTGACAATTGCAGTAAAGAAGCTGCCCACCATTTTGAATCACTCCGTGGCATTGTGGGAACCTAAATTGGTGGACCACTTCCCAATCCAAGTTCAAGGCATTAGAAAAAGTCCTAGCTCTGAATAAAAGGTTTCCAAGCTACTTTGTATAATAAAAAAGAAAATACACTGGTCTAATGTTTATCTTAGCTGTTTCTTTTTTCATTAGGGTTGCAAATACCTGGCAGGAAGGTGTTTGTAACAATCCAAGCAACAGATACAAGCCACAAACTTCCCCTCTGTCCCTTAATTGTGGATTATCCTCCTAGTGAAACAGGGTAAGAGTGAGGGGCATTACTGATATCCTGATATGTGCTACTGAATATGGAAATCTTTAACAGGTTGACACAGGTTCTATTCCATGGAGGACTATAGGCAAGCATTAGATGTCAAATTTCTTTGGATTTGCACCTTCCAAAACTCTTCTTCACTTACTTCCTGGTCTGCATCCTCAGGCCAGTGAGAGTTCTGGTCTGGCATTTGGCAGAGCATGCCTCCAAATTAAGGATTCACAAATAGAGAGTTTCTGTCCAGAGACGACCTGCCACCCTGTCAAAATAACAAGGCTATAACATGGGATTACAGAAGATGGCAAATAGGAGGCAGATGTAGACCTCAGTGGTGGGAAGTGTGCTAGGCCTAGCAACTGTCTGACCTGTTCCTTTTAGCAGCAAGGCTGAATTGCCAGTGCTTTGGTTGACTTCCTTAACATGGTTTGGGCTGGCAACCCTTTGATGAACAGCCTGTTTTCTGGCTTTCTTCTTTTGTTCTGTGTATGCATTTATATATGTTTCTCCAGGGAAATGAAGGTAGTATGGTAAAACCATTGTGGCGTTCTCCTGTTCTCCAGCAACCCTAGCTTCTTGCCTCTGATGGAAGTGACCTTTGCAACACTGCCGGCTTGTTTTTTCCTGAGGTTTCCCCAGCCTTTTCCTATGTCTTCATCCAGTATCCATGAACTACAAAAACGTACAGGCATGCTTTAGTAAAACATTTCTTAGTACTTACAAAGCTTTTCTCCACCCCCTCTCCCAACATGCTAATCTTCCAATAAGTTGAAAGATATTTGGTTTAATTTTTTCCTTTGTGAATGTCTCCATTTTGGGCTGCTTTAAACACACATGTAGGTGATGGGGATCCCGATTCTGTGCACAGTTTAGGTGCATCCGACTTTACCTAGGATCAAAGGGGGCATCTCTACATGAGGCTTTTAACTTGCCATTTTACTGAGACTTCTGCTTCCATTTTCTTCGCAGGAGTGGGTCTTGGGTTTTGCTTTTCCTGCCTGTCTATATATTCCTTCACTCAATCACAAGGTGGCGCTGCAGTATAGCTGAGTGATACAGCAGCATTGCAAAAATCTACTCGCTTCTCATAGCCCCTTAGGCTGAGATTATGCAATGGCACCTGACTTTCTTTGCTCTAAAAAATAGCCATGCACATGGCTGTAAAGCATGGGAGAGAGGCCCTGGAGGATGACAGTGTTGTCTAAAGTTCCCACAGACTACTGTGAGTGAAGAACTGCGGGCACACAAAAAACACTTCATGGAGAGAACCAGAGAAACTGATGTCTTTCCTGATACAGTAGGAAGCCCAAGAATAGGGGAATGGCAATTGTCGGGGCAGCGTGCAGGATGAATGCCTGTTCTCTTGAGCGAGGGGGGATTCCAGTGTTTGGGGAAAGGCTTTAGGTCAGTGGTGGAGCACCTGTTTTGCATGCAGCATGTCTCAGGTTCAAGCCCTAACTTCTCCAGATAAGGCAGGAAAGATTCCTGCCTGAAACCCTGGAGAGCTCCTGCCAGTGCTGCCCCAGATATGCCTGATCGCATCTCAGTATAAGATAATGTCCTATGTACTCAGTTTGCATGCAAGTTCCCCCAGCTACTTATTGGTAGTCCAGAAAGGTAGAAATAACAGAGAACTAGCTTGGGGAGACACTCTCCTGCTGTCCCACAAGGCTGTGGTGTTGGTGCTCAAGTTAGTAAATGTAATTTATTTATTTAAACCATTTTTTATGCCGCCCCATTCGCAAAAAGCCTCGGGGCAGCTTACAACATTAATAATAAGAATAAAAATTTGTCATTCACATTTCTGTACTGCCTATAGCTGAAGTTCTCTGGACGCTTCACAACATTTAAGTCACCCATGCAAATTTCAAGCAGGCCTGACCCCGCTTAACTTCCAGGATAAGGCAGGACCAGGCACTAGACTTCTATGAACAAATCTGCCATTTTGATTTGAAACCCCTTTGCTTGTTTCTTCGACAGCTTTAACCTGGTAAAAGGTTAGGCATGTAGGATTTTTTGGGGGGATGGGGGGGCAAGGCCATCCCAGGTCATTCCTCTGCCTGAGGCAAATGGTATCCCCTAGTCCAGACAAGATGTGAAGAACCCAGGTCTGTTCAAGTTACTTTGGCACCTGAGACAAAGTCCCACAAGCGCCTCTTCAGTAAAAATGCAACAAAAGTACAGTGATCATAAACATATGAAAACAAATGCCTAACTGGCTTTTCACACCCTCCCAAAATAGCTGCCTAATGGGAGGGCCAGCTGTGGAAAGGAGCAGAATGGCTGGCAGTACCACTTGCATCTCTTGTGGACAAAACCCAGCTGCGTCCCTGTGCCACTTGCTTCCTAACAAGCTTTAATCCCAAGCACTGGAAGCAAGACTCCAATGGAGCTAAGTGTCCTTCATGGAGTTGCTCCAAACTAGTAATGCTGGAAGAGTGTGGGATGCAATTCTAAGGGTTGATATTAATTAATTTATATGACTAAAAAAATCACATGTAAGAGAAATGTTGATCACCCTAGCAAATGGACCACCCCATCCAGACCTTCTGACTCAGTGGCCAGCCATGGTTTTTAGATATTAGTAATTACTGCCTTCCCCTGGAAAGATGATCACCACACAGCCATCCTAAAAGATGCTGGCTCAGTCCCCCTTGTATGGTTTACCTCTGAGATTGCTATTCCTTCACATCCCTGTCAGACACTGAGTCACGTCCTTATACTGGTTACCAAGCAAGTACAATGAGCCAAGGAACCTCACTCTAAGAGACCCAACAGAAGAACAATGGGAACAGGAGGGATGCACCTGGTCTGGCTGCTCCTGGCCAATGTGTATGCGGTTCTGCTCAGCATTTATCTGAACCTCCCATTGAGCTCTCGTCCACTTGGCACCTTAAGCTGCTTAGCTCTGTTCTGCTATCTGTCCGGGTCTGCTAACATCCCAGTAACAAGGTGACTGCATCTTCTATGGCCTCTCTGACTATGTCTCTCTTTGAAGATATCCCAACTTTGATTATCTTGGACTCATAGAGGAAAACTTCTTTTCAGGAATTCCAGTTGATGGATTGAAGCCAGCTCCTCTACATGGATTGATAGTTCAATCCGCCCTCTCAGAGATGCACACGGAGGATCTGAGGGCAAGCAGCTCTTGTTTCATTGTGGTCAGTATATTCGTAATGGTTATGAGATCAAGAACAAAGCTGATAAATGACTCAAGTTTTTCCAGATCACCTAAGCTGTGTAGATGAATTCTTGAAATACCTACAGATTTTCTGAAACAGATGATCTAGCATAGTTGAATTTCCAGCATCCACCTTGACATAGGCAGATCTGCAATGCAGTGCACAGACTTGCTTTTGCCACTCCCCCATTTGAGTTCCACCTAATCCTAATGTGCAAACTGCACCTGCAGTCCACTTGACCTTGTCAATTAATAAAATGAAGTGTCATCATTCCTCCAACTCTATTTTAAACCGTGAAAATTTCCTTCTATGTATGTAATCATTTATTTATTTATTTATTTATTTATTTATTTATTTACACATATAGGGTTGGATTTGGATTCTTTGGGCTTTTCTATATGAGACATTAATTGTACATTCATCATTCCCTACTCATCAGGGTTTTCAGATGATGCTGTGACCCTGCAGTTTTGCTTCTGTGTCCAACTAGCACTTTTGGCAAGCTTTTATAAAACAATGTGGCATTTAATTGTGAAAGTGAAAGAAAACATTATTTCCTCTTATTTGTGGTATTCCATTATACCATAGTGCCTCCTAGAGGTTCTGTACTGGTTCTGTACTGGAAAGCAGGAAAAAATGCTCTTCGTGTAGTGCTTGCAATAAAATCCAAAACAGAAACCACTAATTTACAGCCTTGTGTAAAAACAAAACAAACACCTGCTTTGAGTAGACTCAGAAATCAATGAAACTTAAATTATTTGTGTTTAAGTTGTCCCATTAATTTCAAGGGTACCGCATTCCAGTTAAGCAAGTGAGATGCCAGCTGAGCATGCTCAGTCCTCATTGGGCTGCTTTGGGGTTCCCTCAGGTTAGACATTTAGGGATAGTATGTTCATGTGTATATGTAGTGAGTGGAGCTGGCCATCACTCTTGGCAAGTATGCACAAGTGTACTTGTGGGTCCACAGGACTGGGATTCTGAAGAGGAATGGGACCTTGGGACAGAGATGGGAGTTTTAGGAGACCAAGCAAAAGCTCAGGCCTTTGAAGCATCCTCAGGATCACGGCCTGCAGGTTTCCAGGCTGACCAGGAGAGTGTGAATATTTTAGAAGAGATGGGAGGGGCTGGAGGACAGGAGGAGGAAGAGCCCTTGCCTTGCCCAGTCTGAGTGATTTGTTCTTGAAGGGAAGCTTCATTTATTCATTAATGCTTTCTGTGTGCTACTTCTCCTTTCCTACTCTTTCTTTTAAAGCAGGCATGGTGGTGATGGCAGAGCATCTTCCAAGTTCCATCTTTTCAGTCTGATTGAAATGCCAGGAAAAAATATTGTCCTGGGAGCAGCTCCCCCATGAGAAAAACATGTATATTCTACTCAGTCTCTTCCAGATTGTCCAAAGCACAGCTTTTTCATAGATAAAGGCTCAGAAAAACCTGGTTTGACTGGAGCAATGGTCACAGAAATCCCCTTCACACATCCAAAACATGTGCCTGATATGATTGAGGTGCTCCGGCATCAGGCCACATATAACACCCTCATTAGCAGTTGCGTGTCTGAGAAGACTGGATGTGACGGTAATGTGTTCTCACATCTTTCAGCTGCCTCCTTTTGATTGTGGTTGTACTTGGCAAAAAGGCATGTTGGGTTCTTGGATACCCATGAGTGATTAAACACTGCTGGTTGGGGGAAAATGGAGGCAGTAATTGTGGGGTAATTCGGGATGGGGTAGAAGGAAGGGATCCTTCACTTGGCTTGGGAGAATGAAAGGAAGGCTTCCTTGGGAATCCTGGCTGCAAGACTGAGAGATAAAGCTAACTGATAGTACAGTCCAAGGCATTTTGCTGGAACAGAGAAACAGCATTGCTATATTCTCCCAAATCCACACACCCAGTATCCAAAGCCATCTCAGATACACCCACAAGCACCTTTGCCCATCACTCTCAGCAAAAGTGCAGGGGCAATAAGTTAAAGAACTAACCATCTTGCACCCTTTCGTTCCTCTCAAAATCGACCACCTGAGGCAGCTCCCTCAGTCTGGCTAATGGCACAGCTGGCCCTGCTAAGTGACCAAGCACTGTGAAAGTCCCTTTTCCAAGAGGTGGAGCTACTCAGAACAAAATAGGCGTCCAAGTGGTAATTTGACCTGCTGATCTATCTTGAGGTGAACATTCTTTGGGATGGACCATGTTTTCACCCAAGTTTTGGACTGCTGATTTAGAAGGTACCCTTCTGGGTTGCTTTAGTAGGATAGCAGCTTAGGAGGCAGGAAGGTATTTACATGTATCCAGGAGTTGCCGACTTTGCATACTGGGGAAGGACAACTCCTTTGATTACGTTGCAGTCAAGGACATGAAGACCAAAGAACTTGTGGGACAGCAAAGGTAGATAGCCTAGCGCAAGCTTCTTGCTGCCATCAGCGCTGAACGAAGAATGTATCAGACAGGGTGGTAAAGTGACGCGAACACCAATACAAATAATACATGCCCAAAATTCAGCACGGCTCACCTGCTCAAACCACTACTTTTGGTGAAATACAAAAGAGTGACAGGAAAAAATGTTCATTGCAGCCAACCGGTATACCTTTTCAGATTGCATTATAGGCTTATCATCTTGAAAGATAGCCTGCTTGAAGTCTTTCTCAACATAAACATACAAAATGGCCAGTTTGCAAAGAACTGTGATGCCAGTTATGGGACTGTCTGGTGAACGGGACTCTGGGGATAAACTGGGTTAAAGTACCGCATGTGGATGGAATCTCTTTAGGCAAACAAAACCACTTAAATCCCAAATGCTGGTACTTTAGACATCCTTCTTTGGGGTAAGGAGGGGAATACTAATAGGATATTTCCTGTTAGATTTCATGGGAAGCTCGAACAATTGAACTGTGTTTATCGTAAGTCACTGCTGCTTTCAAATAAAATCACTAAAAACTTCCAAGTGTTAGTAATACAAAATATTTGAAAACCAGTAAAATACTAACTGCTTATATCCATTTAGCTACAGTGAAATCAATCGGTGTTTTAGAAGAGCTTTGTAGCAATAAAGCTATATCTAAAAACTAAATCATTGCTTCCTTCCAGATCCATTGGAACAGCTTCATTTTGAAGTCTCTCAGGAAAAGGCCACTAGCTTTTCAGTAACATTCCAGCATCCTTTGAAGGAAAGCCTTACCTGTGGTAGGTCTCAGAAGCAAACTGGTGTGTTGATAGAATAGTGAAGAATATGGGTGGGTGCAGAAACACATTTCAACAGGTAGGGTGTGATGGTGCCCTCGCTCCATTTGGCCTTGTATGTGTCACCTGTCTAGTCTGGACTGGGTTCAGGGAAAGCCTTTGTTTTGACAAAACGCTGCATTTTGTCAAAAGTCTTTCACAGCACATGCTAACACAACAAATGAGTCACAACAAACCAGAGCAGGGCCATGCACAGCCTGTAGTGTAGACTCTTGCAGTTCCTTTCATCTGTGTGTGAACCATGCCAGCTCTTTGCTGGCTGAAGCAGATCCAGAATACCATGACCTCTTCCACCCCACTAGGGGCCAACACCTTAACTCTTGCGACACAAATTTCTTCTTCATCTGTTCTCACCCTCCTGCATCACACTGCCCTGCTAGCTAAATACATGGAAATGGGGAGGGCGGGATCAAGGTCATGTGACATCTCTACACATTTATAACTGAACCCTGAAAAATCTTGTTTAGGGGTCCCAGTCACTTAGACAGCCCTATGTGAGCACAGTTGAACATGAAAGGGCTCGTAAACTTTGGTACACCCTAAGAAACTTGCAGATGTCCCCAGTTTTTACCATTTGGTCATCTGTATTAACCCACTGGGCTCTTTTACATGAGGCTTTTGATCTACCACTTTACTGAAGCTTCTGCTTCCAGATTCTTCATGGGATTAAGACTGGTCCCATTACACCTCTTCTTTCTGCCTGGGCTTTGTCTTTCTCTGCCTTTCTGTATAGTGCTTGACACATCCTCAAGGTCACGCTTTGGTGTAGCAGAGTTACATAAACACACAAGGGTCTCATTCCAGTTCATTTCACCATTTCCAAATCATAGCTTCTTTGAGCTAAACAAAAGCTGTGGAAATGGTTGCAAACGAGTGGAGAGGCCCTGGAGAATGACAACATCATGTAAAGCACTCGCAAACCGCCATAACTGAGGAATCACCGGTGCACAATAAATGTCTGGCATAGAAAAGCCCATTGTCATGCCCTACTATTGCAACATATGTTGTTGTGTTTTTCTAATACTAATATTCATGTTCTGTATTATGTTACTTTGGGTGGGGTATCAGTTGGAGTGGGAAGAAAAACAACATAGCTGACTAGTGTAGATTCACATCTGTGATCCTAAATATTATATCTAGGGCTAGGATTATAAAATGTAACTGCATTTGTTAATAGTGGCAAGGAGTGTGTAAGTGGCCATGAAAATAGTTCGGAGTTAATTTAACTTCTATGAGTATTTGAGCACTGTGAGACTATACACAATTTATTCATTATAAGAAGTTGTTTAAAAGTATCACAACTAGAAGCTGTTGTGATACTTTTAATTAAACCATTTAATTATTATTAGATTAATATCCCACTTTTTTCTTACAACATACTCAAAGTGGTTTACATCGTGCTCCTCCTGCCACTCAATCCCCACAACAACCCTGTGAGGTAGGTTGAGCTAAGAGTCTGTCACCCAGTTGGTTCTATGGCCAAGCAGGGACTATTAACCACTATACCACACCACCACTGGCTCTCATTTACCCCCACCAAAGGGGCTGCCACCTTTCTAAGTGCTCCATGCCTCATTAAAAAATTCCTGGTTTTGGATGATGAACAGCTTAGTGCTAATTCAAACTTCACTTCACTTTAACCTGTATATGTATGAAAGTGGACTGCGGGTGGCACAGTGGTTTAAACTGCTGAGCTGCTGGGCTGGTTGATCCAAAGGTTGCCGGTTCGAATCTGTTCAATGAGGTGAGTTCCCGTTGCTCCGTCCCAGTTCCTGCCAACCTTGCAGTTCGAAAGCATGCAAATGCAAGTAGATAAAAAGGTACCACTTCGGTGGGAAGGTAGCAGCGTTCCGTGCACCTCGGTGTTTAGTCATGCCGGCCACAGGACCACGGAGACTGTCTGGAGACAAACGCTGGCTCCCTCGGCTAGGAAACAGAGATGAGCACCACCCCCTAGAGTCTGGACTTTAATGTCATGGGGAAACCTTTACCTTTGCATGTATGAAAGGACTCTGAAAACACTGTTGGAACCAACACTGGGTGATATGAAATTTTGATGTGTAGTGACTGATCTGCATGCGAGGTTGGAAACAGGATCCCTTTTCAGTTAGAAGAGCTCCACTCACAGAAGATTCCTTTGCCTAATTTTCCCCCTGCCATACAGCTCACTCCATGCAGTAAGGTCTCCCAAATATTTTGCATTCTCAAGAGGCTGGAGGGGCAGCTGTTGGGAAAGTGGTTAGAAAGCATTGCCTGTCAGTCAATTACAGATCCATAATTCTGGGCCCAACCCACAGCCAGCAAGAGATGAGTATGAATGTGCCCACTAAGCACACATGATTTCAGGAGAAAAAGAAAATCCAAATATGATGCATATTTAAAGTCCTCATGCAGCCATGAAGTTTGCTGGGTTGCTTTGGGTGGGTCTCAGCCTAACCTACCTCACAGGGGTGTTGTGAGGATAAAATGAAGAGGGAGAGGATTAAGTAAGCTGCTGTGGGCCCCTCACAGGAGGAAAAAGAGCAGGAAAATGTTGCCACTGCTGCTATTTCAACAGATGTACTGTTCTGTAATAACTCTTCAACTATTTTTACTGCTAAGACAATAGCATTTTCTTTCTTTTATTCAGTAATGATCAACGTTTTGAGCTCACGGGAAATTCAGTGCACTCTCTTTCCAATTTCTGAAGATTCCTTAAATTGCAGCAATGACTATCTCACAAGAGTCATGAAGCGGTAAGTGAAACTTCTTATTGATAGTAGCACAAGTTTTCCTTTCCTATCCATTTCCCCTTTTTTGAGCCAGTGAGGAGGGACTGACTTGTTTTTTTATATCTTTCCACAGTATCCAGAAACTATAAAGTGTCATAAAGAATAAAAATGTATTTGTGGGTGGGGAGATTACCCAAAATTTTTCTTTAGCTTTAAACACTGTAATGCATGGGTCCTCAAACTACTGTGGGCTGGATTGGGCCCACCATGTTGATTTATCCGGCCTGCCTCAGAGCTTTTGGACTCGCTGGGAGAAAACCATCTCCAAGAGAGTCCAAAAGCTCTAAGCCAGCACAGGTGTATTCAGTGGGAAGATGGCCTTGATCGCACCCGCCTTTCCTGCATGAGTGCACCCGCGATTGTGCCCATCTTCCCTGCACGATCGTGCTGAGGGGCAGGGGAGATGACCGTGATCACGGTCACGCCTGCGCAGGTAAGATGCGCACGATCGCAGTCGTGCTGGGACACGACCGCAATTGAGCCCACCTTCCCTGCATGAGCGCGACCGTGCCCATCCCCCCCCCCCTCAATAGCATGACAGCGGACATTGTAGGCATGTCCCTTGAATATGGACATGCTCTTCCCCACCTCATCTTGGGCTTCTGCTGCAGCCCAAGCAAGCAGAGCAAACATTTTAAAATTATTTTTAAATGTTCAATTAATTTTAATTAATTTTTAATGTGCAGTGTGCATAGGAATTTGTTCATATTTTTTTCAAACTATAGTTTAGCCCCACAACTGTATGAGGGATAGCGAACTGGCCCCTTGTTTAAAAAGTTTGAGGACCCCTGCTGTAATGCATTATTTCAAAGGGGATAGATTTTAAAAAACACTTTTTAAAAGAAGGTGATTGCACTTGTACAATTCATTTAGTCAGTCTAATACATTCATTTTTACTACTGCTGAATAAATCTTATGTACTAAATTGAACTGACCAGTCATTTCATCAGGAAGTCAAAAAAGCTCCAACGGTGCAGGTTTAGTTCCTATAGAAATACCTAAGACTCCAAAAGGCTTGTCTTTCTTGGCTTACTTTGCATGTAAGATGGGTATAGAAGAGGTTACTGCATTTTATAATATTTATCAATTGCTTAACATAACACAGGAATGTGTCTACACAAAGGGAATGCAACCACATTGCACAAAATTTGAATTCAGAACTAAACTGGGCTGCTTTGAAGTAAGTCAGGCTTTGTCTGAAATGAAATATGGTGTCCGTTAAGTGGCTCAAATTGAGCTGGATTGTTCTTGGAACCACCTTGGAGACTTCAAAGGATGCAGGGAATTGCAGACTACCTTTAAAAAGAATCACATTTCCCTTCTGAACACTCTGTAAGTGTAAACATGCAGGAGTGGTGCATTCTTTCTGATGGCCCTAGCTTCCAACCACAGAATAAGAATACCAAGGTTTTTTATTTCTAATTGCAGTGCTTTTTAGAGGGTGGGAATGTAGAAGGAATTTATCAACTGAGCTGCAAAGTATTGTTTTTCATTCATGCAACTTGATGACACCTTCACCTATCCTTCTGAAATTTTGTAAGTTATCTAGGAATACCTCTGTAAGATATGCGATTTTGATGAGTTACTCTAAAAAAATCTTTAAAAATTATATGTAAATTTGGTTTTTTGCAGGGCATACTGTCTTAGGAAGGGGCTTTTGCCTGTTCTCTGATGATGAGTTTTCCTTCAGTGACAGACTTTTTTGGCACTTTGTGGAAGCTCATACCCAAGTTCTGCCTTGTTCTAGGTTTCTTCAGAAAGTTCCTGGTCTGATTACCTGTGTCCCTGTGGCAACCACTCTATGGTGGTGCACGCAACTGTAAGCACATATTAAATTTTGAAATGTGCCCACAGACCAAATGTGTTGAGAATCCCTGTCATAGAACAAATGTCCATGCTGGTGTAGGCATGCTCATGCAGCCCTCCTCTCTCTCTTGCACTTCTCAAGGCTCCAGAAGTGTTGAGGAAATGCTCCTGGAGGAGTTGAAGGACTGGTCAACATTTCTTAGGGGTTTCTTTAATGACACATACATCCAGCCTAAAGAATAACTTTTACTTTGATGATGGTGATACATTACTCTACATGCATAATTGTTCTGTGTAGGACAACCAGGTTATATGACTGAATTAGAAGTTCCTTCAGTATTTGAAGACTCCTAGTCCTCTCTTGCTTCCTTAGGTGCACATCTGTCCCAATCCTCATGAGAGCTATTTTCAAGAAAGCTACCAAACCAGAAGTTGAAGTTACTCAAAGCACAGGCAGAAACACTGAAGAAAGCTCCAGTGATGTTCAAGTTGAAACCACCCAGGAGTAGTAGCATTGGCTTGAAAAATGCTGGTGTTGTGAAACTTAGAGAATGTTTTCACTTGGCTTGAATATTTATTGCAGTGGGGGAAGGTGGAAGGGTACACGGTAGCTAATTCCAAGACTTCAGTTGATTACATGGAAGAAACTGCATACACAGAATAGAATGAAAGTCACAGTATAATGACATGTAATTTTCAGTTTGATACTTCTGTGTAATAGTTGGTAGATTTCTCAAAGTTTGGGCAACTAGGAAAAATCAGCTTAATAAAAATTATTGGAAGAGGTTGTTTTCTTAGAAGTATGAAATGTAACTTGAATGTGCAGAATTGACAAGTCAAATTGCAAGTACCAAATACACTGCCAGATTACCTTATTAAACTGTGGATTTCATAAGATCTTCAAATATGTTACTTTTATAGGGATTCTTGTCCAGAACAAAATATAGGCTTCATATAGGGCTCTGGCAGTTTCACTAGTGGCATATAAAATGGAATTTTAGCATGCATACCTTGCTAAAATTTACATTGCCTAAATTCTTCCAGTCTACAACTGGTCAAAGCCCAGGAACTCCGTTTTCTTTTCCATTTAGCCACACTAGCCTAGATGCACCCAAACTTCTAAAAGTAAAGATTAGTAGTTACTGGGAAAAGTACCATTTTTATGAGATAGAAATTGTCTGTGTTGTTAAAGTTCCTACTTGGAAACTGAGAACATGGTAGAGCTCAGGTAGTTGGATGGTATAAGACTGGAATACCAAATCATCCAGTTATAATCCTGGGTGCCATAGAAATCCAAAGCAGTAAAATATATTTAATCTCAAAATAAGGATTTAATGTTGTAGTGTTTAATTAATGAAAAAGTAATTGGAACTAAGACATAACCCTTGATAGGTTAAGACAACTGACTTAAAAAACAACTCTCCCATAAGTCTTCTTTATTAAAATAAATAGCATAAACTAGAAACCATTTTAGAAGAGGTACTTATTGTTTTTGTAAAATTAACACAGAGCCTTTCCACAGCTTGTGTTCTTTTATACCTATTCCAGCTTGTTCATGTGCATGTTGACTTCAACATAAATCCTGCTCCATACACCAAATTTAGGGAGCAATGCTATGATCCCTCGATCACAGCACTGCTCCCTAAGCCTCACTGAATATAACATATTTTCGATTCCCAGTGCATCAGGGAAAGAACCTTAGGGCAGTGGGGAAGGAAAGAACTGTGCCAACTGCCTACAGTCAGGAACACAATCGCAGAGGAGAAAAGGGGGCATTATAGCAGTAGGGGAGAAGACTTCCTAGGCTAGGATACAAGCTATTCTGTGATCTCTCAACCCTCCTTCTATCCCCCTCTGAAATCCTTCCATTCACTGGGCAAAGATGCCCATTCAGAGAAAATATAGGGCAAGAGGTCAGGGCAGCAAAAGATTGCCTCTTCTGTTTCTTCAACCCTAGGATAGGGTGCATAGGATACACACAAGCCTCCAGGTCTGGGTGCTTGTCATAATAGGATTCTGCCCTAATTTCCAAATAGGGCAGGAATGAAGTTTAGGCCTATGGCTACTTAATGCTCATTGCTTGCACATGGACAGAGACACCAAGCAAGAATTTGTCTCAACCATATTCTGCTTTGCAAGCATCATGTGGGGTTGTGTAAGTAACCTTTCTGCACAATCTCCTATATTATTTTTAGTGGTAAACCTGTGTTTACATGCTTATTCAGGAAATACCAATTTCAAAATAGAAAATAATTGATGTCTTACAGCAGCAAATTCAATGTTTTAGTTAGGTGCTCCATGAAGTAATACTTCTTAGCAGTCCTCAATCTCCTACCATTCAGGTTTGTTCAATGACCTCAACTTCCAGCATTACAAGGAGGAGGAAAAACTCTGGCATCCTCTACATCATACATTATTTTATATACCTCCATGTTTTCCCTTACTCACTGCTTTTTTGAGTGAAGAAGCCCCAAAACATTCTGCATAGGAAAGTTCCTCCAATTCTTTGATTATTTTGGTTGCCTATTCTTCCAATATACATAAAGGGTAATTTATTAAGGAATATTTGAATGCAGGATCTCTGTGTTTCAGCAACTAGTTAATGAGATGTCATCATTCCAACAAAAAAAGTACACTCCACCAGTAAATCCCATTTTACACAATTAATTTTGCAACAGCTGGATATGTTCTACTATGTCCGGGGACAGACCTAATTGCTCTACTAAACTGATAGTTTTTTCTTTCAGCCAGGCAAGTGTTGGTCTTCTGGATTCTGGGCCTTCTTTTGTCCTTTTACAGCATCCACCTTGGATGGAATCAGTCCTGCTGTCGTTGCTACAACAATGCCCACCAAACTCAATGTCCCTTTTACAGATTGTTCCATTTGTAGTTCCATTGCATTGTTCCTCAGTTAAGAGTACATGATCAAGATCCATGTCCTCAACAGTGTCAAGCAACTGACCAACAGAGGACGGTGGATGGGTACGGTTTAGATTCTTAAGCACCTCCTCTTCATATTTTCCTAATTCTTTCAGCAGGTCGGTCATTTCACAGAGCACTGCCGATGTGCATTCGTTATGATGACACCAAGATGAAAGAGTGCTATAAAAAACAAAAAAGTGTGAAAAATATGGAATTTTAAGACTACATACAAAAGTACTGGAGAACTGCCCTCCCCCACCACTCTAACTTATTTTCATTCAGATTTGGTAAGCTCAAGAAGAATGTTAACCTAGAGAAAAGCTTTGTTTTCCAATTTGAAGCTCTATCCCCACAAAACAAACCTAGAAATCAGCATCACACCAACCATAGGGATCTTTTAGAAGAGAATCTGATCCTTTCTAGCAGATATCTGATGGATTTGTGCTATATTTTCATGGAACGATCAGGTTCTTAGTGCCAATGGTGGTAGAGAATAATTATGACAGCATGCTTTAACAGCTTAAAATTTTACTGGGCTTGTAGCAAGGTAAAAATTTCCTCCTGCCACTCTGCAAACTATAAAGCAGAGTTAGATAACTACTGGCTAAATGACCCCACTAATTTGCTTCTCTTAATGCTGCAAAAGGCATAGAGCTCCATGTCATAAAACACCTGATGTCCCAAATAGAGATGGCACAAAGTACACAGATGGATGCAGCCTGTCCCACCTCTTCACACCCCTCAGTTTTCATCAGAAGTGGCGAGAAGCATGTGAAGGAAGAACTGGCTGATCCCCGGAAGAGCAGTTCCTCCTAGTGACTGCTAAATATCCTGCTTTGCAGACATGAGAGATAACAAGGCATTCCTTTGCATTCTGTTCACCCTCCCAGTTGGTAGGAGCAGTGCAAAGGGAACTTCTCTTGCTTCCAATAAGAGTTCACAGTGGAGAGTCCTCCAGGATGCAGCACCAGAATCAAATGAAACACCATGGTCTGTATAGGGAAGGGTTGCAGGTAGAGGTTTTCTATCTTTGCTACAGAGGAAGCTTCAGGGGCAACTTTCCCAGGAGAAGTTGTTAGAACACAAAACATGTAGAAAGCGTAAAAGAAAAATGCAGCATCTTTTGCAAATTAGAATAACTGTTTAGATCTGTCCTTATTCTTCACTAACTCAAGTGTAGCACGATGTGAAACTATATCAGGACAGATAGCTATAATGAATACAAAGTCAGTGTTCAGCATTTTAATAGGCACTGTATTCAACAAATACATATTAACTGACACATACTATTCTGCAGAGGCTTGACCTCAACATAAGAATCTGTGGGAATCTAACAGCACACATACCTTATGGTTCCTTTGAGCTGGCCACAGAAGAACATCATCCTTACTGCTTCTTTATACCCCTGATTAAAACCTTGTTGAAGTGTCAGCTGCTTCCCAGCTTCAACGCCTTCTCTATAGCCTTCCTTTAAGCAAGGTCACAAAGAGACTATTTTAGAACATGAATCCAAAAGGCATTCTTGGCATGTAGCCAGCTAATTCAAATACACCATAAACTAAAGTGAAATCTTTTATTTACATTGTTTAAAATGCCTGTATATAGATGCCTTTTATAGATTATGCAGCTCTACAGAAAGAGCATAATGAAAAAGTATCAACGGATTTGATGACATGCAACAATATACCAAACGTGTCAACCTTGCCAAACCTTATGCTAGACTGGGCTGAACAGGTAAACAAGAAGTTAATCTTTCCAAATGACTAAGAAAGAGCCAAAGGAAATTAGATTGCATGGCATGGCTCAACACAATATCCATGTGGTGTTACCAAGCTTTAACTATTTTGTTGGTTACTGGATCAGTTTCACTCTATAAAGGCACTCACCACCTAATTGCAAAATGGAAGTAACCAAATCCCTTAGGCAGCAACTTATTTTACAAAAAAAATGACCCTGCAGAGAAGGCCAGAAGACACCCTATCTCCCAGGATGCAATATCTCATTCCGACAGCCAATACTGCATCCACACATTTTACCTCTGGGCTGATAAAAGGGTTGAGCTGAAACTCCTCTGGGATAGCTTTAGTCTAGTGCCTTCAATAGCTAATTCTTACATCAAAAACATGATGCACAGATCATTCAACCTTAATATAAACCATCCATAAACTTTTAATGGAGTTTAAACATCCAAAATTACTTTGACTCGTTTCTCCATGGCAGTCTTCCATTCCTTGTGTACAAGTTCCATCTCATCAGCCTCTTCATCAAACACATCTTCACCCCGCTGGTTAACCACACCTTGCACCCACGACATTTGGCTATGCTTATAATGCAGGGAGGACTATGACCAGCAACAGCTGAATTCTAGCATGGTGAAAGGACTGAGCCCTCCAAATAAATCCTGCAAGAAAATTAACATTGATTGAAGGAAACATCTTCAGTTAAGAGAACAACCCTTTGCATGCTTAGACAAGAACAAAAGGTCTACTACTGCCTGCATTCCCTAGCCAGCTGGGAGTGGTAAGGCTTTTTTCCTGTCTAAACATGCAAAGGGCGACGCCTTAGCAAAACTAAAAGCGTCAAACGAGCTTCAAGAAGCAAGTCACTGTTGAGAAACTTAGCCCTGGCGACAGATAAGCTACAGGCTTGAAAGGAAACAGGATCCCAGTCTCTATCACCCCACCGCATGCTAGTGAGTTGGCAAGGCAACAGCGTCCGTATTCACTCTAGAAAAGAAAGGACGAACAACCGTCTGCAGGGAGACGTGTCGCCTTCTCGCTCCAGAGAGGGAGAAGGGAAGAGGAGCCGAGCCGCCCGCGGCACAAGAGCCGCCAACGGTCGCCTTAATTTCCTCCGTTCAACCACTGACCGAACAAAGGCAGCGCGACTAACCTTCCCGTCAAACTGGCGGCACCTCATAAACACGCGCCGAAGGGCTCCTCTTGAGCAGGAAGCCGCGACCCGGAAGCGAAAACACCAGCGTTCCTTCCGGCCCACCGCGGAAGCGATCAGGATCAAGAACCCGATTGGCGGGTCGCTGTATGGGGTTGGCTGCGCCTGCGTACTAGCGCGATCTCCTTTCTTTTGTAGGGGGAGTGGATTAGAGGAAAGATCTATTTGCACATTCTGAAGGCATTTGTTAGTTGAAGGGGAAAGAAGGAATGCATCTAGGTCCGTCGGTTTTCAGAGCGCGGAAGCATCAAATTTGGACTCTGCATGACCTAAAATAAAAGTATTGTAGTGCATTGAAGGCTAACATTCACTGTAACAAAACAGGAAAAAAAAGGCTTTCTTGGATTAAGAGCTGAATCCAATGTTAGTCCTACTTAGAGTAGACACATTGATAGGAGTGAAACCGGAGTCGCCCATTTAAATGTATCCACGCTTTAACAGATTCGGTCCTTAGATTTTTTTTTTTCTCAGATGCGTAAGTTCTGATTGGTATACGGTTTCAGAGTGGAAAAATTGGAGAATAAGGGAAAATGTTTACGGATTCCATGGCCGTTTGGCTCTGTTATTTTACATGCCTGCTCGCTATAGCGTGATGTGTTTGCTTTTGTGTGTCTGCTAGCCAGTGACAACTTAGACAGTGGTCCTTAATCCAGGAAAGTTTACATCACAATAAATCTTACTGTCAGGTATACCACATTGGAATGAATATGCTATGGTTCCAAAATTTATTCTCCCGAAGCCTAATTTCCATTCCCCTCCCCCCCCAAAAAAGTTTTCTTGTACCTCCACTCTTAAGCAGATGCCATCCGTGAAAGCAATAGCGCCTCTTGCTCAGCTTCCCTTGCAAAGCTGTTGTCTTATGCCACTTCCACCTCTATGTTCCACAATGGCCAACATTTTCTCTAGTTGGTTAATTGAAAAACATGTTGCTGGGCTCAGAAAATTCCCTTATTCCCTTACCTTCCAGGAGATTTTTGAGGAAAAGGATAAAATGCAGAGATCAGGCAGTAGGTCCACCTGGGGTTGTTTCTCTAATATTCTCTTTAAAGTTGTTTGTCTTTTTGTTTTGGAGTCTTGATTCTCCAACCTTCCTAGTTTTTAGGTACCCATATAAAATTGCTGGAGAAATTGAACTTGCTGTGACTCCTTATTAAGTGTACATCTGATAGTAAACCTTGTTCCTCTCTCTCACACATACTCATATATGTAACACTTGGGCAATAATCTCAGACCTGTGGCTACACATTTAATTGAGAATAACCATCTTTGAACACAGGTATGGTTCTGAAAGTATATCTGGTAGCTGGTTTGCAATAATCTGTGCCTTTATAAGGAAAGATGAGTCTAGCTATGCTGTCAAATTGCTCTTTTATCTTGGCTTGGATTAACATAGTTGCTTAATTTGGATTTTGGAATGCAACAAAAGGGATTTTGGTGACCCTAGGACCTTTTGTCAGCAAGCAACAAGGTTTTGAAAGGTAGAGATCAGAAACCTTTGGCCCAATTTTGTTCATGTTTACTTGGAAATTGCACTTAAACTGCACTTTCACCTTGGTTAAGTATACAGAAATTGACTTGGAATACCACCAAGAGGATAACACTTTTGTCCATGAATGATAAGGTGAATGGGTATAGGACAAGAGGACTTTGGAGAACAACTGGTCTCCAAGCAATCAACTCCCTTTGGCATACTATTGGAGGGGAGGGGCAGGGGCATGGAAAAGGTTTTGGCAAGGGCATCACTCATTGGAGGCCTCTGGGCCTAGTAAGCAGTGTCTGTGGTGATCATACTAGCTATATATGGGAATAAGTTCCATAATGTTAGAATATATAATCTCATAAAAGAGAATCAACTTTCTATAAGTGATCACCTACCTGGAAGAAGTTTTACTTTCCATAGACAACCAGGCAAATGACTGTTTACAAATGACATTTTTCTCCCTCTCCCATAACACTCAAGCACAGGTTTATCCCATGAAACTGAATGGGGAAAATTTTAGGATAAACATGTGAAAGCACTTCTTCACACAATATGTAGTTAAATTTTGGAATTCACTACCATGGGTAAAATAACAGTTTATTTAATAATCATTTATTGTTTACATTAAAATTTTAAATATGTTAAATATATTAATAAATAGCACAGTAAATAACAGTTTACTTAATGAAATCTACCACTGTTTGTAGCTGTAGCAAGTAAAAAAAGCATATCAGACCAAAAGCCAAATGCACAGAGTTGCTCCTTAGGGGGATGAGTGATGTAAACAGAGAGATGAAAAAGATTAAAAATATAAGGTGGTAATTAGCAATAGTATGCCAAGTTTTAAAAGTAATATTTGGGCTGAAACCTTAAACATACTTACCTGGGAATAAAGCCCACTGAGGTCAATCAGTACCTATATATTATAGAAGTGTTCCCTGCAGATATACTAATCCCTACAAAACTACATTGATTTATGTCTCTTGTCTAGCTTTTGTTTGAAATGTGAACCATTTCTTTATTGAGAAGATTATATCCTACCTGTTTAGTATAACTTCTCCCCTATGTCTGGTTTTCTACATTAATGTACATTTATATTTATTTGGCTTTGTTTATATTTTTGCTTAAGTAAAAAATATCAAATTTCAAAACTTAAAATTGCCTTTCAGAGAAAGTTTACTCTGCAGGTATAGAGAAAATCAGGTGTGTATGGGCAGTTAACAGGTGTGCAGAAAATCAGTGCAATTGTTCATTAGCAACTGTGTGATTTTACTTTTGTTCCTAATAGTATGGTTTTTGGCCATTCCTTCACCTGGTTTCCTGTTGGCTCAATTGTCCAATTTATTGTTGCAGGTGAAATGGATACTTTTCTGTTTAGCTAAGAGCAGTGGAGCAGAAAAATAATACTTTCTTCAATATGTTGTAGTTGCTCCAGTTGATTAAGATTTTTCCCCATCACCAGCAGGATTTCAGGAGCAATTTCCTTGCAACTTAGCAAGAGGATTAATGTCTCCTAGCAACAGGTTAGGAGCATCTGTATTGGTATTGATTTTTTGGAGACAATTACATCACTCTGATTATTTTTTCCCTCAAAATCCTGTGCTGAGATGTATAAAGGGCAGAAAACAAGAATTATCAATGTGAAAACATTACAACTTTACAACATTGGCTGTCCTTGAACTCCTCTGGGCCAATCCTATGCATGTTTACTCAGATGCAGGGCCTCCTGTGTTTGGTAGGAATTAACATTCAAGTAATGGAAGCCCTAATCCCAGATGACGAGGCTGACTCCAGGTTACTTACTGCCCCACACAAGGCTGGACAGGGTAAGGATGTTCCCACAGAAACCGAAAATATGCTCAAGGATGCCATACTGTAAGCTAGAGGGTTCTGGACATATAACTGAACTCTGCATCAAACACAGCTCAAAACCCTGGATGAGTACCCTGAGTTTGGGATGATGGGACAGCACTCCCTTCAGTTGTGTCAACCCTGAGGTGGCTACCCAACCTGTACTGGCAAAGCAGAAGTGTTCAGAAGCCTGCGTGTACTTCTGATCTTTGGCCACAATGCTTCTGTTCAACAGATACACATCCAAGTATTATTTCTTGCCCCTGGGGATGAGCAAAGGCTTCTGTTAGCTCCCTTGCCAAAACTATTGGTGGCAAACTTATACCACCAATAGTTGGTACTTCTTCCCATCAGATTTTAGCTGCACAGTGCAAAATATTTTTCTGTTGTGGTGCCAGATTGATCAAATTATTCCTTAGGGAAGCCCATCAAGTTGTCTTAGTCTTTTAAAGGGTCTGTTAAAATGTTATTTTCCCACCATCCTTTTGGAAGAAAAAACGTGTTATTTTACTGATTGGGTGGGTCCTGCAGCTATTTTATTACTTGCAACTGATTCTTCAAACAAACTACAACAACAACAAAAGCAAGGCAAGATGAGCCTGGATAAAGTACATTTAGATGACTGCTTAGGGCACACCAACTTGTACTAGCATTGAAACACTGGCCTCCTCTTCCTTTCCCCTCCACTTCCTTCCTTTTGGGTCTTGTCATTGAAGTCTGTAAGCCTCTCTCTTTTTGTGAGCCATATTGAGAGACAATAATTGTCTGAGAAACAGGATAAAAATGCAGGAAACAATAATATGTTCATGTTTTTTAATTATTTCAAGACTTTGTGCATGCTCATTCTGAGTAGAAATCAAGAGTAGGCATGTGAAAAAATAACAGATGATCTCAATTCTTTAAGGAGAAAATCAGGGATATTCTGATAGGAAGCCTCAGGTCACACCCATCCAGAGTGTGAAGTGATACCTGGATGAGCTTCAACCTACCGAAGAAATGCCTACTCCCATATGAAACTGACTGAATGAAGATGCTCAGCTGCAAGTACCCACATCTTCCAAAATCAGGTGAATGTTTCTCTAGGGACCAAAGATTCTTGTATCCTGTTCTTACTAACACAGAACTTGGAGCCTCTCTTGATATTTAAGTTTGGGAGCTGTTCAACAGGGAAAAGAGGAGGGAAATGGTAAGGCTACTAAAGCTGCAGGATTGCTATCCAGTCAAGGAATCAGAACAAGCTGAGTAAAAGCATTGCACTCCCAATAATCAGGAAGAATTCAACAGGCTATATCTTCCTTTGCTATGCCATCCTTTCTACAGCTTTTGAGGTCAATATTCAAAGTATACTTAATCTAATGATCCCATCTGCCATGAAGAGCTCACAAAAGACACTCGGAATCTATGACAATGGGTAGAAATGCTCAAACAAAAATATTTTTTAAGGGAAATTTGCCATAAGAGCATACTGCTAAAAGAAACAACTGAAGGTGATAACTATCCTTAAAACTACCTCTACTACACTATTTTTTTCAATATTGCTTGCTTTGAAGAGGATGCAAACAGCCTGTTCCATTTCAAATC